AATCCACCTGGTTTGTTTCCTTTTGTTGGTGGTGGTGGTATTTGTTTGTTTTTCGAGACAGGGTTTCTCTGTGTAGCCTTGGCTGGCCTAGACTCACTCACTCTGTAGACCAGGCTAACCTTGAACTCACAGCAATCTGCTTGCTTCTGCCTCCCAAGTGCTGGGATTATAGTGTGTGCCACCATTGCCTGGCTGCAAATATTGTTAAGATTAACAGAATGCCAGTAAATCTACAACATAACATGGGGCTTTCAGCCACCCTACATGGTCCTCACTGCAGGTACCCCTGAGCCACTTTGTCATGGGACTCACCAAAGCCACTAGAGTTCCACACCCCAGAACTGAGGTCACTGATAAACCCACCTCTTTGTCAACTCTTGGATGAGCAAAGCCTCACCTGACCCGGTGAACAAACATCACACATCACTTTTCCTCTTTAGTTCTTTTGTTATCATTTTAATCTATTTTTTTCTTTACTGTCTGACTCGTTCCATGGGTTCCAAGTTCTTGTGTTGGGTTCAGGGTGGAAGCTGAGAAAGCTCACTTCAGCTTAAAGTGAAAGCTTTATTTTCTGAGCTCAGGGAGGTGACCAGTTCAGGATCTGAACTGCTTCTCCTAGGGGAAAGCCGAATTGCATATTTAAAGGGTGAAAACAATACAGCAAGGGGGAGCAGGGTGGGCTGTAGAATTGCTCAATCATTTTGACATGAGGGGCTGGGCAAGGGAGTTTCCGTCAATCAGGATAAGAGTAGGTCCCTGAGCCTGGGAACATGAAGTTGTTTGACCGTGCCAGCAAGATAGAGTGGTTGTCCTTGAGATGTGTGGACTCAGACAACTGTCTCCTTATAAGTTGTCCCTTAGAAGTCTGGACACAGACAACTGACTTCTTACAGCAGAAGCTGTTCAGCTATTGGGAGGTCCCCAGCTTCTCTAGGGCCTCGGACCTTGAACTTAGTTTCTCCCTATGATTACATGGAGTCTGAAAACGAAACGGTAGTGCTTAGAATAAGTTTCTTTTGCTTGTTCCCAACATTTGTATCTGGGAAGGGCTCTTCAGCACAGCTCTGACTAGTACTTTCCTTGTATCCTGCTCATTTTAAGAAACGGCATAACAGCATCTCTGTGTCATCTTTTCTTGCACGAGCAAATTCCCACCGAGTCGCCATCTCAGCCTCAAACGTCTTTATGCTACACAAAGCAGTGGTCACATACCTTCTGCTGAGCCTCCTGACCCTCGCTCCTTACTTGTTACTCTCAGAGACCACAGCATCTACCTTAAACCTTTAACCTTTTTAAGAGCATCTCTGTGTACACTCACTGGACCTCACTCGTTAGGCAGGCAGACCATCCTATGCTGCGAGGAGGAAAGTTTTCTGCTCACACTCTTCTTGTGGGTAGAGGATTCAGCCCTGGTTGCGTGTCTCAGTACCCACCTTAGGGGATTCGCAGCCGCTGACATACCAAAGACACTATCCCAAACAGTGCGCCTGAGCCACATTGGGATTTCTCTGCAGATTCCTTATCCAGACATTTCCTCTGGATAGAGGACTCAACCTTGGTTGCGTATCTCAGCATCCATTGTGTGTGTCATGCAACCACTGACATAACAAGATGACATATATTATCCCAAGCCACATAGGGAAAAGTAGCCATTTGTCTCTCACCCCATGCTCTACCCTCCCTCAGGCTATACAGCCTTAGTTGCATATCTCGCAACCCATAGCTAGGACCATATAATCACTCCTTTCCCAGTCATCCTTGGTTTTGCCAGTCCCTGTTGAGTGCCAATTATATTGCGTGATGGTATTCCTGGGGGAAATGAACCAGTGTCCGCTCTCCTCAGATAGGGAATTGATGACAGACTGAAGTAGGGATAACACAAAAGTCCTGCTTGGTGAACCAACGAGTTCTATGGGGTTACTTACCGGAGCGGAACCGACTCAAAGGCAGCCGCTCTCACCAAAGCCCATCCCAGCAGGGGGAGCAGCTGGAGTGCACTATGTCACCAGTGGCGTGCAGCCACAGGCCAGAGAGAGTCCTTTTTCAGTAGCTTGGTTGGTCTGAGCCTTTTCTAGGAAGTTCAGCTTACCTGAGTCTCTCAGCGGTCCTCACTATTTATGTATGCTTGGGTGTGTGAGGAACCAGGTCAATTTCTGGATTTCCTGAAGCTATTTTGAGTTGTTTTCTTCCTGGGCTTAAGGAGCTTTCCCTAAGGAATGGAATGTTTCACTTTCCCCTGGAACATCTTACTGTTTTATCTCCCTGTAAACACACTCAGTGTCTTAATGAGCTTTCCTCCAAGATCGAAGGTTTTAATTTAGAGAAAACTGCTACACAGCACACAGCCGTTACTCGAAAACAGCATCCCACCCTTGGGGCTTAAAACCAGGTGGGCAGAGTCCATGTATTGACCTTTCCAGGGAAGGTGAGGCCAAGTGGCCCTTCCACTACAGTGGGAGGACGTGTGTAAATGGTGCTCTGGTGACCTCCTGTTCTTATGACACGCATCTCAGTGCTGGCATCGAGACAAGGCAGATTATTGGCATGCCAATGAGTCCTTCCTAAGCCTCGTGGCTCTGGGGTCCACTACAGAAAACAAGCACAAAGTGGCCACCCTGGCAGACAGGCAGTTCTAGGAGGTTGCCAAGGCCAGAACCTGTATTTAGGAGCCCAACTAAACCCACACACTCGTAGCATGGGGTCTGGTTATGTTTTCCCAGTACTGCAGAGGACAGACACTGATGTCACAAGTGAGCTCGTCGTGAACAAATGAGGCATGAGACCCCTCAGACATGGCATTGCAGATAGCTCCCAGACCTGTATCTTGCCCAGGGCAGGGCCACAGAGAGCCGAGAGCCACAGAGCATGAGCAGCGTTCTCCTACCCTGTGCCCTCAAGTGGAGTTAGGAGCTCTTTGGGAAGCTTGGGGAGGGGTCTGGAGGTAAGAGTGGTGATGGAATGCCTGCAAAACAGGGTTCCTATGAGATTACAGATGGCCTTTCTTAGAACAGAAAGAAATGTCTGTTGGAACAGCCTGCCTTCCAACATAGTCTGTCTTGCTCTGGGAGAACAATTTCAGGAAGGAAAGACTACACTGAAGGAGAGACACAGAGCCCCCAAGACTGCAACAGCTTCATTCCCAAGCCGCTCCCATCACCCCTGTAAAGCAGAGGTTCTCTCCCTTTGTTTTGCTGTGACCCTTTAATACAGTTTCTCATGTTGTGGTGACCCTCAACCATGAAATTATTTTTGTTGCCACTGCATAACTGTAATTTTTCCTTACATAATGTAAATGCAGACTGAGTCATTATATAATGTAAATGCGTACTGAAATTGTAACTGTAAAGTGAATATCTGATATGCAGGATGCCTGATATGTGACCCCTGTGAAAGGGTCATGGCTCCCCAAGGGGTCTAACCCCACAGGTTGAGAACTGCTGATCTAGAGGATACACTGAGATAATTTGTCTCATGTGCTTGTTGTCAGTCTTGCACTGTGACTGCAAGGAGAGGCATGACTAATCCTCCATGCAAGCAGGCGCCCAGCGTCACACTGCAGGGAAAGAAAACGTCCCAGCACGGGGGAAAGTGCCGTTCAGAGGGTGCAGCTGCCTAATAGGGACAATTTCAGCATCAAGAAAAGTGACTATGAACAACTTCAATAAACCAAATGAATAAAAATCTACAATTTGATATTCCACCTCCCAGATTAAACAAACAAACTCAAACAAACAAGAAAAAAAAAACTCTAAAGCCCTAGGGAGCGTTGGCTGTAGCTCACGGAGCACTTGCCATTCACGTGCCCATGAACGTGCTCTGGGGTCCACTACATTAAACAAGAAGAGAGCGACCACCCTAGCAGACAGGTAGTTTTAGCAGGTTGCCAAAGCCAGATCCTGTGTTTAGGAGCCCAATGGTCTAAACCCACACACGTGCTCATAGAGCTCTGGTTATATCTGTTTCCATTAGCTGCTGCATGAAGCCACTCAGAAGACACGTATGCGAGGCTCCTGTCTGAAAGCAGAGCACAGTATGATTAATAGTGACAGGGTGTTGGCTCTCTCCCATGGGTTGGGTCTCAGGTTGGACCACTCATTGTTTGGGGATTCCCTCATCTCTGCTCTACCTTTATGCTCACACTTCTTGTAGGAAGGACAAATCACTGTGATTATATTATACAAGGCAGGAATCTCAATGTGGTTTAGATTTCCATTTCTCTGGTGGCTAGTCAGCTGAACAACTTCATTATACATATCCTGTTTGAGAACTATTCAATTTACTAGGCCATTTCCTGACTGTGTTACTTGATTTCCTGTTTCATGTCTTGAGTTCTTTGTGTATTCTAGATTTTAGACACAAAATATTGATTTTGATCAGTAGAAAGGGCTCGGAGCCAAATGTACCAGCTTCCTTTGCTAATCCTTAACTTTTCTGTGTGTGAACTCTGGATGTGCTTACAGACATTTTTATGCAGAGACCCACAGCCAAACAGTGGGTGGAGCTCAGGGAGTCTTGTGGAAGAGTAAGAAAAAGGATAGAGGGAGCCAGAGGGGTCAAGGACATCACTTGTAGACCTACAGAATCAACTCACCTGGGCCCATGGGGGCTCACAGAGATTGAACCACCAACCAAAGAGCATCCATGGGCTTGGCCTAGACACCCTCCACATATGTAGCAGGTATGCAGCTTGGTCATGAGTTGGGTCCCCAAACATTTGAGTGGGGGCTGTCTCTGACTCCGGTGTCTGTCTTTGGATCCCGTTCCCCTTGCTGGGCTGCCTGGCCTGGTTTCTGTGGAAGAGGATGCCATTAGGCTGATGTGACTTGATGTACCAGGTTGGGGTGGTACCCATAGGGGGCCTCCCCTTCACTGAGAAAGGGAGAGAAATTAGGGGAAGCAGGTATGAGGGTGGGACTGGAAGGGAAGGAGGAAGGGGCTGTGATCAGGCTGTAAAGTGATTAAAGAAGTGAAGTAATGAAAAGAAGGAAAACAGAATTACCCGTACCCCTAGAAGCGCTGCATGTGTGGCTGCTGTGTCACAGGTGTGAGGTAGGTGGCAGAGAGGAAAGAGGCCATGTCTAAGCTCAGGGTTCTAACCTGTGAGCATCTCAATGGTTAGTAGCCTAACTTCCCTGAAAAGAAAAGAAAAAGCAAGACTGATATGACCACCAGACCAGCACCATGGGGCCTGAGCAGGGAGCTAGCCTGAGATGACCGCCATCTTGGCACAGGTCCAGATGGGCTCCCAGGAGAGGAAAGAAGCCTAAGACTGGAAGAACCCTACCTTGGACCTCAGGGCTCAGACAGTGATCCCCAGATGGAGGACCCTTGCATGTGTGCCACTAGGCTGGTCTGGGTAAGGAACGAGCCATGACCAGTGCCATGAAGCCTGGGGTGTGGGGGAGAATATGATGCCCAAGATAACCCCTGCCTGGTGCCATAATGCACTTCTGAGATCACTCCTGAGATGATCCCAGACACTCAGAGACCCTGGGACTCAGAGACCACTAAGAGAAGCAGGTAATTGTTGGAGTATTGTTGGAGAAATGAAAGAGAAGCAGAAGGGTATGGGCACAATGAAGAGGCAGAACTGCAGACTGCAGGGTAGTGAGGATCAGCCTGATGTGGGTAGCCAGTGATGTCACTTGGGACCAGTGATGTCACAGACCCTGTCCTGTGCTGCCACCAAGCTCCACATCTGTTACCTCCTAAGGCAAGGCCAATGTTCCTGGTCTGGGCTGCTGCTCCAGCACTTGTTGTGTCTGAGGGCTGTGCAGACCTGGCCTCACCTTCACCTGGGCATCTTGGGAGAGCTGGCCCTGGAAACATGAGAGCAGAGAGCTGACCCAACCATACCCAGCTGCAGTACATGGAAGAGTGGGCTTGCACATTGCAGGAATGGAGGCTGAGTTGGCCCAGAGGATAAGAGAACGAAAGTGCTGGCCCTACAACTCCTCTTCCTTTCGGTGATGTGGACAAGGGAGAGAAACTCCCCTCCCCCGTCCTACTTCACCACCTGTGATAGGAGGGAGAACCTCCTGTGGGGTCATGAGAGCAGGAGAGCTGTGCCTGCCCCTCACCTGCTGCAGCACTCCAGAGAGTGGTCCCTGCACCTGGCCTGGGCAGCAAGATAGAGCTAGCCCTTCTTGCAGGAGTTGCTAGTGAGCCAGCCAGAGGGCAGGAGGGCGAGCAGCCTGACCAGCTCAGATGCCTCTCAGGCCCAGATTGAATTGCCCCACCCCAACATCTAGCCCATTGGTGAACTGTAGCAGTGCATGAAGGGTCCAGTCCTGCACAAAACTACAGGATCTCCATGACAAAGAACAACAGGATATCCAAGAGGAGTCCCAGTGAGGTTCCAGCGTTGACGGAGTAGCAGAAACTAGAGGCCTCCTACCAGACTAACAGGTCATAGCAATGAACATTTACAAGTAAAGACCCGTGAACAAAAGGGCTTGCTGTGGGACACTCTGTGATACACTACAGCTTACAAAACAACATTTTTTTTTTCCCTCTGGGGAGGGGGTGTTACGAGTGTGGAAGGTGGGTATGAGGAGAGAGGGAGATGAGTGGGATTGGGGTGCATGATGTGAAATTCACAAATAAAATGTTAAAATAAAAAAACTAGGACTCCCAAGAAGACTTAGGAATCTCAAGGATGAGGGGCAGAAAGGTTGCAAACCCAGAGGTGGTGGGTAACATCAAGGGCACTCAACAGGGCTGTTACCAATATGAACTCAGTGATTGTGCCAGCACGCAGGAGAGCTGACAAGCTCAACCAGGAAGAACCCCAGCACAGAGAAGGGGACATACAATGAAATCCCGCCTCAGGCTTGAAAATACTGGCACCTGACAGCGGCTGGGAGGGGCAAAGTCAGTTTTCTGATGCTGAGCCCTGTTAGGTCAAACATCAACCAAGACAGATTTTACCACTAAGAAAAGTTGGGAAACTTGATGGTGAGAGGAAGAGGATCAGGAGGAGGAGTGGGAGAAAGGAGAGAGGGAGGACAAAGAGGAGAAGGAGGAAGACTACCCCTCAGAGTTGGTTGGTGTCCCCTACCATTGTGTATCCCTTTCCTCATTTTGGAACATCCGGTCCTGCAGGGAAGCTCCTTCAACAGGAAGGGAAACAATTCCAAAGAGCTTCAGGAAGTCCCTGACTCTAACAAGATTCTCCAGTTTCCTTCTTCCCAAGATGTAAACAAGCCAAGCTGCTCAGAGTCACCCTCAGAGAAGACAAGCTACAAAGACAGCCCTGAGACCACATCAGCTGCCTGGTAGAGGCAGGAAACAGGCTTGCTGCCTGGAGGCTTAGACCTACGGAAAGTTAAAATGCACACTCTTCCACCCATTGAGCTGTGGCCAGGCTGTGCAGTGTGCTCCAGGTTCCTAGCTTTTGTGAGCATGTCACCCCTGCTGTGGTGGGCTTTGGTGATGCAGCTGTCTTTCAGTCAGTTCTGTCCTCGTGAGTCATCCCCCACATTTGTTCTTATAAATGAGAACAGTACATCTTATTGGACCATGAAGCTGGACTTGGCAGTATCCTTCCTTTGTTGTTAGTCTCCTCTCTGGGGTGAGTAGATGTGTCTGTTGCATATTCCCAGGGAAGGTCTTGAAGGAACCCACACGTGGGATTGCTGCCTATATGCCTTGGTATTAGGTACAAACTGCACCGAAACATCTATCTTCACAGAGGGATCCTTTAGTAGGCAAGGAAAGAAAGAAAGTGGCAGATTTCTGACTCAGGCAGGAAACAGCAACAACCTTGCAGGTGTGATTTTGATCATGAAAAGGTGGTTTGTTTTGATCCAAAGGGGGCTTTTGATTGCTGGATTTCAATACTTTGATAGCTGGGCCTTGGTGGTCAGCCTGAGGAAGAAGACATAGCCAAGTAAGAGAGTAGACTTTGGTTGCTAGCTGTAAGAATGTAATGTAAGGTCTTTAGCAAGGAAGAAGAAATGGGAGAAGGGCCAGGCCTACCTGAGCCGTGTTTGCAAGCTGGTGCCTGCTAGAGATACTTTTGGTTTTGTCACACAACAGGTGGGAGGGTTGGGAGGGTGGAGAGGGTGCTTATGGGAGTGGCTGGTTGAGGGGATGATAGAATTCTCAATAAAAGTATTTTTTAAAAGAAAAGGAAACAGAGCATTGAATGCTGTCAGGGAGGTGGACAACAGGGCCCTTAGACACTGCTAATGGGAATGAAAACCAGTCTAGCCACTGTGGCAGTGAGTATGCAGGAGTCTCAAACCACATTGTAAACAGATCTTCCATATGGCCCAGCTGTACTATACCTCAGTTATTTGGCCAAAGGACCCCAAGATATCCCAAGGTACTCCACATCAGTGGTCACTGTAGCACTAAGCAGAAAACCCAATTAGTAAAACAAGATGTCCATCCACAGAGGCTGGGACAAGGAAAATGTGGTAAACATCCAAGATGGGATTAGAAGTAAGTGATCAAAAATATGGGGGTAACTGAAGAAGATCCTACTAAGCCAATCAAGCCAGGTGTAGTCCTAGATACTATCTGAATACATTAAATCATTACACATACAAGGCACAGAGCTGCAGTAAAACTGTCTATAGAAACGAGAGAGAAAATAGGACTGTGAGATACAAATGTCTCAACGTGGACATGTACAAAGTCTTTTCCAAAAGTTTGTGGGCTGGAGAGATGGCTATGTGGCGAAGAGCCCTCATTGCTCTTGCAGAGGACCTAGGTGTGTCTCCTAGCTACCACATGCTGCCTAACCCTCTGCAACTCCAGTCAAGGCCACTCATCAAGGCTACACTGTTAGGACTGGAGGGACAGCTGAGCAGTTAAGTGCACTGGCTACTCCTACAGAGGACCTGGGTTCCATCCCCAGCACCCACATGGTTGCCCCAACCTTCAGTGACTCCAGTTGCAAGGTCTCCAAATGCACTGAACTCACAGACTACAGCCATACATTCAGGCAAACATAAATACACAGAGAAAGACAGACACACTACTCTTAAGTTTATACACTAAGACCCCATCTCCAGAAACAATTTTTAACATGCCAGAATAAAAATGACCATGTAGAGCTTCAGATGCATTGGAAGCTGGGAGAATGGAGCTGACAAAAGAGGCTGACTAAGGTCTTCTGCAATAGCCAACACACACCCAGGAACACACACACACACACACACACACACACACACACACACACACACATATTGGTTTTTGATATGAGGTTTCTCTGTGTATCCTTATCTGTCCTAGACTTACTCTGTAGACCACGCCGGCCTCAAATTCACAGACATCCTCTTGCTTCTGCCTCCCAAGAGCTCTGGGATTACAGGCATGTGCCACCACACCCAGGTATAATTATATATGGATATATTTTTGAGTTAATTTTGTATCCAGCCACTTTGCTCAAGGTGTTTATCAGAGATAGGAGCGCTGGTAGAATTGCGGGGGTCACTTAACTGTACTATCATATCATCTGAGAATAGTGATAATTTGACTTCTTCCTTTCCAATTTGTATCCCCATGCTCTCCTTTAGCTGTCTTATTGCTCCAACCAGATCTTCAAGTGCCATATTGAATAGATACTGAGAGAGTGTGCAGCCTTGTCTTGTCCCTGATTTTAGTGGAACTGCTTTGAGTTTCTCTCCATTTGATTTGATGTTGGCTATTGGCTGGCTGTATATTGCCTTTATTGTGTTTCCATAGTAGGCACCTTGTATCTCTGGTCTCTGCAAGACCATTTCTTTCTTTTTAATTTTATTAAATTTAGTGATTGATTGATTTGTTCATTTTACATCTTATCCCAGCCCCTCCCTCCTCTTCTCTCAGTCCCAGCCCACACCTCTTTCCTCTTTTCCCCCTCCCCTTCTCCTCAGAAAAGGGGAGGCCCCTTCAACTTACAGCTCACCCTAGCACATCAAATCACATCAGGACTAAACACATCCTCTTCCACTAAGGCCAGACAAAGCAGCCAAGTTACGAAAAATGATCCAAATGCAGGAACAGAGTCCATATCAGATACAATCCCCACTCCACTTGCTAGAGAACCTACATGCACATAAACGTGTTTCCAAGGTAAGAACAGAAACACAAAGCACAGCATTGAGAACTAAAACACGTACATCTTGCTTTCTTAACTAGGTTGGGAAGAAAACAGAAAAGTTGTATCTCGCGCCGTAGAGAAGAGCACATAAACGTGTTTCCAAGGTAAGAAGCTGCCCATTAGTTACATATGTGTTGTGTGCCTAGGTCCTGTCCATGCATGCTATTTGGCTGCTACTTCAGTCTCTGTAAGCTCCCACGGGCCTAAGTTAGTGGACTTTATCGGGCTTCTTGAGGAGTTCTGGAACCTTCTATCCTCCTCCCCCACTCTTCCATAAGATTCCCTGAGCTCTGCCTAATATTTGGCTGTGAGTCTCGGCATCTATTTCGATCCACTGCAGGGTGGAGCCTCTCAGAGGACAGTTATGCTAGTGTCCTGTCTGTAAACATAGCAGGGTATCATTAAGAATGTCAGGGGTTGGCTCTCTCCTATGGGCTAGGTCTTAGGTTGGGGCAGCCTTGGGTTGGCCATTCCCTCATTATCTGCTCCATCTTCATCCCTGCATATCTTATAGGCAGTATAAATTTTGGGTTTTGTGGGTGGGTTGGTGCCCTCCTCGCTCCACTGAGAGTCCTTGCCTGGCTAGGAGGTGGCCACTTCAGTCTCCAGGTCCCCCCAGCTAAGAGTCTCAGCTAGAGTCACCCCATATCCTCCCAGGAGCCTACCCTGTCACAGGTCTCCAGCTTGCCTCAGAGATGCCCATCCCCTCAGTTTCCCTTCTCTTTCCCAGCCCTCTTGCCTCCCACCCCTACTCTGCCCACATGTGATCCACACCCTCTCCCACCCAGTTCCCTCTCTTCATCAACTTCTGATGTCTATTCTATTTCCCCCTCTGAGTGGTATTCAAGTATCTTTCCTTGGGCCTCTTTGTTACTTACCTTCTTGGGTCTGTGGATTGTAGTATGGGTTATCCTGTACTATACAGCTAATGCCCACTTATAAGTGAGTATGTACCATGTGTGATTTTGTGGATCTGGATTACCTCACTCAGGAAGATCTCTTCTAGTTCCCATCATTTTCCTGCAAGTTGCATGATGCCTTTGTTTTTAATAGCAGAGTAGTATTCCATTGTGTAAATGTACCATAGTTTCTTCATCTATTCTTCAGTTGAGGAATAGTGCTACCTGAAGATCCAGGTATACCACTCCTGGGCATATATCCGAAAGATGCTCAATGCTACAACAAGGACATTTGCTCAAATATGTTCATAGCAGCTTTATTCATAATAGCCAGAATCAGGAAACAACCTAGATGTCCCTCAACCGAGGAATGTACATAAAATTTGTGGTACATTTACATAATGAAATACTGCTCAGCATATAAACACAAGAAAATCATGAAAATTTCAGGCAAATGGATGGAACTTGAATTTTGTATCCAGCCACTTTGATGCAGGTGTTTTCATATGTTGGACCATCCCTGTATCCCTGGGATGAAGCCTACTTGATAATGGTGGATGATCTTTTTGATGTGTTCTTGGTTTTGTATTAATTGAGTTTTCTTTTGTTTTTGTATCAATGCTCATAAGGAAAATTGGTCTGAAATTCTCTGTTTGTTGAGTCTTTGTGTACTTTAAGTACCAAGTTGACTACAGCCTTATAAAATGAGCTTGGCCGTGTTCCTGTTTCTATTTTGTGGAATAGTTTGAGGAGTATTGGTATTAGCTCTTCTTTGAATGTCTGGTAGAATTCTGTGTTAAAACCATCTGGCCCTGGCCTTATTTTTGTACGAATTTTGATGACTGCTTCTATTTCCTTAGGGGTTATAAGTCTATTCAAATTGTTTGCTGGATCTTGATTTAACTTTGGTAAGTGGACTCTATCAAGAAAATTTTCCATTTCATTTAGATTTACCAATTTAGTGGAGTACAAGTTTTTGAAATAGGACCTACCGATTCTTTGGATTTCCTCAGTGTCTGT